TGTAAATAATTGCACATACTTTACACGAACTTGAGGCTGTAAATAAAAGAAAAACAGTATTGCCTCTCGTGACCTTCCTACAGAACTCTAGCAATTATAGGCAACTACGGAAACTCTATAGGATTAAAGTATCTAACGATAGTGATGTTTTTATTCAGAATAATAACTTCCTTTTTTAACTTCTAAGAATCACACATTCTTATTGTACACCCATTTACAGACCAAAGCTCTGTTTAAAAATTTAAAAAATACAATAGGAATAACTTTAATTTTATTTTTATTAAATGCAATTTGAATTTTATAATGCAATTCAGAAAGAAAATTATTCATTGAATTTAAGAGGAATAATTTTTTGTACCAGATATCACAAATTTGGGTCAAGTTTTTATGAGCATGTTCTTTTGAGGACTTGTCAGTTGTTACAAGTATGGTATCCCCAATCCCCACCACCACCCCCCGCAGCTCATGTCTGAATCATATAAATATTCGATTAAAATATTAAGACCGCAAGTAATTCGTTATTTCAAAGTTGTACAATTTGTACTCTTCTTTCAGAATTATATGAAAACTGAAATATTTTTGGTGCAACTGTGGTCGCTGCTTCCATTGCAGAGTTTGTGTGCTGCCAGGAAATTACACAATGATATTCCCCCAACTAATGAGGAGAATCCCAGGAAGCCATGCATCACAGAAAATATTGGTTTCTAACCAGTCTGTCTCCATCCAGCAATTCAACGTACTGCATGCTATGTGTATACAGTATGAAGAACTTCCCGAAACCAATCGGTTAGTATCATTATCATTTGAAATGCAGACTATTGAATATTGTTCAATACAAAATTTTATAACATAGTCTATTTATATCCCCTATATAATCTATTCAAGCGCAAACAGTTCAAAACACTACATATTCACCGGATTTGAGGTCGTATTCACTGGAGGGTTAATGCGCGTGCAACGGCATTGTGACGTCACAATCAAAACATCGAACAACGTTGTAAACAATATAATGGTTGCAACGGCCGTAGCGAGCTACCTATCTGAGCAGGAAAACAATTATTCAAACCTATTTCAGGATTATTTTTTAACATCTGGACGTCTTACACATAGCGAAACTCGGAAAGAGAAACACGGAGGTAACAAATATTAAACTGGAGATTTTTTTTTTCAATAACGGAAGACCGCAAATGAAAATGGTGTCGTCATACAGCCTTCAATGTCTTATCTATTGAACTCCCCACTATATAATAAAACAATTATGGACTCTTTTGGTGTTATATATGGTATGTTATTTACCAGAAAAATATCCATATTGATATGAATATTTTCCTGGTGAATACCAAACCATATTCAACACAAAAAGAGTCCATAATTGTATAATATAGATTTTTTTAAAATGAAGACAAAAAACTGAAACCAGGTTTATTCAGTGTAAGATTTTTTTTTAAATGAATGAGACAACATAAAAATATATAAACAGTATTCCATGAGATCAATACAAAAACTTTATATATAGATGTATATCATGCCTGCATGAATTGTAGATTCCATAGATCATAAACTGATTTGCATATACATGCATATTAAGCAAGTACAATTAACAGTCAAACAAAAGGTAAAAAAAATTACAACCAGATAATAATGCATGAAGAAAACAATAACAGAGAAAAAAACTGTAAAATTAACTTAACAATTCAACACCCCCTACAAGATGTGAATAAGTAAAGGCTCAACAACAATGTTAGATTAATCTATCTTAATATACGAGGGCTGTTCAATAAATAATGTCCCCGGTGCTCAGAAAGAAGCAAAAGACGCTTTTCAATGATTTAGTCTTCATTATTTTACTAATTAATCTCTTTTAAGTAAAATACTTTGAATGACCCTCGTACAATAAGTGATTTTAAATAGCTAGTAAATAATAATAAAAAAAAAAACTTATGAACTGCATTTATTTATTAATCATAAAAACAAACTTTTTTAATTTTTAAAATTGACGATACAAACAAATTAAATAATCAAATACCCGAAAATGGGATTTCTTTGGCTTATTTTATGTAAAACTATTTACGATAAAATATGTGTCAAAGTATTTTTGAAGCATATTAAAACTGTCCGTAACTTTTTTTATCCAATTTCTGATTGCTTTTAGAACTCATTTTTGGGTATGACCCTTAGTATACTTGAAAATGGCAGATCCAATGATTTCCCGTTCTTGTTTATTCCCTCTGAAATGTGTTTTTTCAAGTTTGGAAATAGATACAAGTCAAAAAGCAAAGATCTGGCAAATATTGTTAATGTGAAAAAACATTAACTTTCTGTTTATCCCGAAAACCCATTTACTCCCCAGGGCTTGCGGGTTTGGACGCTTTCTCGAAGAAATTCAGTGTAGTGGATTCCTGATTCTGGGTCCTTCCTCTAATAAAGCTTTTGATTTTTTTGCAAACAAATTGCGCTCTAGACTCGTCCAGAAATTAAACTGTCTCTCCGAATACGAATTTGAACAACAATACCACTAATTTTTAAGAAAATAACATATAAATCTGTCTTTGTGCTCTTGAATACATGTGCTATTGTCAGACATTCGCCGTTTTTATCAAGTACGTCTTATGGTAAATTTTGTTTTGAGGGTTTTAATCAATAGATTCATGCTCCAATATCTGTTTGAAAATAAAACAAACGTGGATAACTAAAGTTTCTGATGTTAAGAATTTCGTATACGCTGTCGTTTTCACTCATATTTCAAAATATAGGGTGATCTTTGAGTACCAAGCTTTTTTACCGTCAAACGTTTCTTAAAGACACTGTAAACTACTCCCGATATTTGCTATGTGTCTTAAAGTCAATCATACATCATCAAATATTATTTGTTGAAATTTAGCAACCAGTACATAAGTTGTTATAAATTTTGTTGGATAGGAGGGTACCCATTTTTGATGCCTATTATATAATGTTTTATCATTGAAATCAACCTGCTCTTTTGTCTATAAAACAGGCATTGGTTGCTGTAAATGTTCATATATTTCAGTGAATATTTCTTTGGGATTTTTAACAAGTTTTACGGCAGCTATAATGAAGCTTTTATTTTCACTCTAGTTTACTGATTCTTTACCATTCATTTATAATGCAGTGTCTCGAAAAGCCCTTGTTTCCCAGCTTCTCACGATGAAACTATGTGATGAAAAATGGTCACACAAACTGAAAGATTTTATAATGAGAGAAAGTCAAGTTTAATATCATATGATATCTGTAATGTATGTTAAATAGTTCAGGACATTATTTATTGAACAACCCTTGTACAGCCAAAGGGCAAGAATTTAACCTTGAATAAACAGCAAAGATTAATCAAAGAATGAGATTAAACTAAAAAAAAACGTAGATTAAACTAAGAAACAGACTACACAACAACAATAACAATAAAAATCATTTAAAATAAACATAACAGCAAAATTAAATAGGGTGAATTCACCATACTTCGGACACATGCCTTGCTTCGGACAACTTTAGGCAATAAGCTCTCTCTCAACTTAAGAGTTCTGTGTATGTATTTGCTTCTGTCTTAAAGCTGAAGATTTAAATCTTTTAATGATACCGATTGTTATTATCATGTTGTGATAAAAATACCCCGAGAATGGCCTTGAAGTTACGTCATATTTCACATCGTCAAAGGGGAATTACCAGAAATTTATGATTTTGCCATTTTTAGAGATATCGTTCTTTAAATTCGATTTCAATAAAACGAGTCAGACTTTGGTGAATTTTGTCAAAGATTAGTAATTTTACATAAATTTTAAACAAATTTCACTTCAATTTTATTACAATTTTTTTTAGCTGGTTTTTACTGGTATGTTCATTTCTCCGTACATCGGACATAAATTAACCATGCATCGGACACTTTCCGATGCAAAGGTAAGCACTACCATTTTCATACAGAACCCAACTGACAGCTGCTTCTTGCGGAAATAGAAAAAAAAAAATCTATATTTTCAATCAAAATGTAAGTTATCGATATATGACGTTTAGAATTTGATTCAATTTATTTCCACAAACCAAAGTATTATAAACCATGAGAAAAAAACGCGAATTACCGCATTACAAGCATTTTAAAGCTTTTCTTACTAATCTTAGGCAAAGTGAGGTATCTTGAATCGTTCTACATTTGTGCAACAATATCGTCAATTAAATTTAAGTCGATGGTCATTTCTTAGATAAAAGATAAATATAAATCCATATTAATGACTTTAAAGCATTGTGATAAAGGTATGATATTTTTCCGGTCCAAATACCGTCTGTCCGATGCATGGTAACAATGTCCGATCCATGGTGAATTCTGAGTTATATTTAAAAACTCCATTTTTGAGGATATTTCTCAATAAAAAGCATGTATTTGTGTCCCAAATTTATATTTTAATCACATACTAAATGTTAAACTCCATTTTGATAATTTTACGTCGGTAGCAATATCGCTAGAACTTGTTGAAGTACAAGGGCGTCCGATGCATGGTTAATTCACCCTAACTGACAATTCATAAATAAAACCGACAAGACAACAATAGTTAAAAGTCTAAATAAAAAGTAATCAAAACGGGAAATTAAAAAAAAGTTATATAAACAACAACAGTAAAAGTCAACAACGGTATCTTTAACGTACATATGCCCTAACATACTAAGATATTATAAAAATATAATGGAAGGAATAGTGGATTTTTACATCAAAAATGTTTGAATCCTCGTATTTTACAGGCGGATGCGTTACAGGCAACTGGCTTGATGGTGCTGGATATGGTTTGGAAGAAACATGCGTGTACCACTTCCTTCTTGTGCAGTCCCGAATATGGTGAATACCAAGGATTCCGCATGGCCTAATTCCTCTGGAACCTTGTCAGCAGCTGACCCACCGAATCGTCCCTCTCGGGGTGTTCATACTGGACACACAGTGGCGGTGACGCAACTCCAGGATCCCCAAATATAAATAAATTAACCATAAGTACCTTTCGTCTTCACCTTCTCCACAGTGTAGTCCCTCTTTCAGTACTTTGGAAATGGTGTATTAAAGATTCCCCTCTTATGTGTCTGCCTGATCCTTATTGGAATTTTCGTTGTAGTGAAGTGCTGCTAAGGCCAAGTATAATTGAAAACATTTTGTTAATAATTTATTTGTAAATCATTTTATTTCCATTGGTGAATTTCTCTTTATAATGACTGAGTATAAGAAATGGTATGGTATAAAATATTGCTCAGTGAGCAAGACAACATACCGACTTTGCATTCTAAAGTAGGAGAATTTAAACATTTTTGGCGCAAACTGGTTTTTGACTGAATGAATGCCTCTACATTTGAAGTTCGAAATGATGACAAGAGCATGGGGATGTCCTCTTTAATCTGCCCGCAATGGTTTCTAACTTCTCCATCACTTTGGTTCCTGAAAGATACAAGTATGTTTCAATTTTATTTTTGTTCCCCGCTTGAAAAGTGGGGGATATTAATTTGGGTTTGTCCGTCCGTCCGTCCGTCCGTCTTTCTGTCTGTCTGTAACGCTTTCGTTCCCACACGATATCTCGAGAACCCTTTGAGCTTTTGCAATGAAATTTAGCATAGCAACTCCCTATGGACAAAAGAAGACCCCTATTGATTTTGAGGTCAAAAGGTCAAAGGTCAAGGTCATAAATGAGCAAATTCTGTCTGTTAAAACACTTTCGTTTCCACACGATATCTCTAGAACCATTTGAGCTTTTGCAATGAAATTTTATATAACAACTCCATGTGGCCTAATGAAGACCCCTATTGATTTTGAGGTCAAAAGGTCAAAGTTCAAGGTCGTAAATTTATACATTCTGTCTGTGTGTAATACTATTATTTCCGGGCGATATTTCAAGAAGATTTTGAGCTTATGCAATGTAATTTTATATCAAAACTCCCTAGGACGTCTCTCGCCCCTCTCAAAGTGCCCCGCCCCGTTTGTTTTATTAGTATTTATAGTATTACATGTCGCTATTTTTAGAGCAGGGGCATGAGGAGAGTTATTGCGCATAAAACAGGTTCTCGGCGGACTTTATGTTCTTATTACATCTATTAGAACTGTTTAATAAAGGCTAAATAAATCAAACACCATGGAATGTGTAAAATTTTGAGAATACCGAACATGAAAACATGAATATATACATGTATGTGACTTCACTTCTGCATATATACTTCGTACCACGTTAAGCGATTCCGTGGTCTAGTGGTTATGTCTCTCGCTTCCAGTGTGAGACGTCCCGGGATCGAATCTCGGTCGAACCTTTCTTTTTTTTTTAAATACTTTTTTTTACTAAATGATAGTATTCAGCATGTGAAATGAAAAATTTATGAGGTTATAAAATAATCATTACAGTGTGATAAAAATTCCATATAAAAAAATCTTCTATACACATAATGAAGAATAAGCAATCAAATCTTTATATGCATATTGACATACATGTATTTTATTTGCTTCAGTATACATTTAATAATTCTACAAATTTAATTATTTACAACTTAAGTCAGGGGGATCCGACACCGCCCCCCCCCCTCCACGGAATGCGCATGGTTTACTTTTTCCCTAAGCGGGGGACACAAATTCTCTGAATTAGCTTGTTTTTTTTAGAAATTTAAATACCAAAAAAAATTGGAATAATTTTTTTTTTACATTTCAAACACGTTGCACTAAGTCATCCCCCACTCGTAAATATGTTTTGATTCATTAATAAATAAATAATAGCCCTAATAGAACTTGGTTGATTGTAATAAAAGGATCTTACATGTACCTGGTCTCAACCATCCCTTCCGTCTAGTAAGTGGGCCAAGGTCCAAAGGTTCGTATTACTGGCTTGGTCCATTTTTCTCTTTTGAGCTCACTGTCTTTTTCATCAAGTGCTGAGGACGATACCAAATACAATTGGTTTACCAGACTTTTTATCCACTCTCTTCAGTTCTCGCAATCCTTTTCTTTGCTGAGGGCCAACAGCGTCTTCAGAAATCCTTTAATTTAAAATATAGCATTTATGTTCAGCCTGACTGATAAAGTTACCATTTAGTGATACTTTTACATTTATCATGATTTATGTGCAATATTTTTCCCATCAATTGAAAATGTAACAATCTATTAAAGTGGGGAAACCTTTTGCTACGTGCAACACATCGATGCTATGCTTCGTTCTTACGCATTCATTTCGCAACTTGAAGATGTCTGGTAGTCACTTTCTTGCTAAATCCATTTGTTCCATGTAACGATCTCCTCGGATTAAACCCTCTTTCTCCATATGGCAACTCCCACCTACTTCGTTACTCTGAAATGGATTTAAAAATAAATTGCCGTTCCAGTATCACTTTAATTTACAACACAGAAAAACAACAGATTTTTACATAATAATAAAACAATTTAAATAACAGTTAATCACCTATACTTGTATTTACCTTTATGAGTTGCAGATCACCCACCACATTCTCTTCGAGGTCCAAACATTAGCGTGTTGCTACCAAATTTTGCACAATGGCCAGTAGAACGGCATGTTCCATCTCCAGCTAAATGTAACTGCCGCCCCGACGCCCGTACTTGTTGTACATAAGTGGCTTTTTGGTCTCCCTATACTTCGATCACTACTGGATGGAGGTACATGTAGCACTGTCGGTGATACATAAAGGTCCCGTAGGAGATGGAAGCCATGTTCAAGAACTTACCGGTAAACATTCTGACTGCTTTGCTTGGAAGAGATCTAAAAAACAAAAATACACAAGGAAATTTCAAAATAACCCGCTGGAATGCTACCAATAAGGGGCTGGCTACTAAAAGTCCGCTGGTAGAGACAAAAACTGCCGTCTTGCTTGATGGAGATGTAGGAACCATATGATTATGGTATTATTTTTACATTTTCAAGGAAAAATCAATAGTGATCAAAGTGTTATGCTTTCCCATTTATGTGACATATAAAATATCAGAGATTAAAAAACAAATTAGGCTTCCCCAAGGTCACTCTCCACTGTTTCATCAGACTCGGTCGACGGAAAGATTCATCCTGCTCATAATCAGTCTCCTCTGAGGTAGATGACTTGTTGACAGGATCTTCTATAGGTTAAGGACTTAGAGGAGGAGCTGGTAGTAGATTACAACTAACGTCAATCTTTCTTGTGTTCACCTTTGGACAGCCTGTGCCTCTACACAAAGTACTGAATGTATTAATATTCATTTCAAAATATTAAACTCTAATATCTTATACACAATATAAATGTAAAATAAATATAAAAAAAATACAGTACAACTCGATCATAACGAAATCGCAGGGACCTACGAAATTACTTCGCTACATCCGTAATTCGTTATATCCATATATCATACATCCTGAGGCGGACAAAATGTTATCAATAAAGCTCACTTGAGCTTTCAACTCAGGTGAGCTAAACTTGTCGAAGTCTGTATGTATCAGTACATGAAGCTCAGTTAGGAAAAGAAAGTTTAAGGGTTATAAAATGTTTGATTCAGTTGAATAATATGTACTAGCGTATGAAGTTTTACACTAATTCAAGAAAAGTATGGTCAATGCCGAAGAAAGGTCAAATTCAAAAAAAGTTTAATAGCTCTCAAGTACGAGGGCTTTTAGAAACTTATTGAGACAATGTGTATATTTCCTCCCTTAATGAACATTTTTCGGTGAAATTAGCATATTATACGTTTGAATAATACTAATTAAAGTGTTTTAATAGCCAAGAATACCCGGTATAAAGCAAAAATCTATTACTTCTTCACAGTGGTATTTTATTGTGTAAATGGTAGGGGTGCCCGGTGCAGCCACAAAATCAGATATTGAAAAAATGTAACAAAAACATTCAAATACTGGGATGACCCATAGTAAGAGCGTAATTTTTTCAATTTATGGATATTATTTTTGAATTTAATTTTCTGATATTTTTTGCAGGTTTATTAAACTTTCGATGGGAAGTACAGAAAGCATGAATAAATTAAAGGGCGGCATAGATATTTGAGGACGATGACATAATTGTTTTGACGTCAAGCGGCGCATTAGAGCTATGAAGAATTCTTTCCAACTCCTAAAACTATAACAATGAAGAGAAGCATGCTCAGTGATTTTTTTTTTTCATTTATTTGATTTTTATCTTGCAAAATATTCAACAAGAGTAAAAACAAGATCACCGGACGACCATAAATTATTTCGAATTATAAATAACTTTGACATGCGTTGCATTAATCGGTAATGCAATATGCTAATTCAACGTGTATTTGTCACTTCATGGGTTTTTAGCTCACCTGAGCCGAAGGCTCAAGTGAGCTTTTCTGATCAAAATTTGTCCGTTGTCTGTCGTTGTTGTTGTTGACGTTGTCGTTGTAGTTGACGTTGTTGGCGTCGGAGTAAACTTTCCACATTTTCATCTTCTCCTCAAGAAGCACTGAGCCAATTTCAACCAAACTTGCCACAAAGTATCCTTGGGAGAAGGGGTTTCAAGTTTGTTCAAATGGAGTGCTACGCCTTTTTCCAAGGGGAGATAATTATGAATTAGAGAAAAATTAATGGCATTTTTAAAAAATCTCCTTCTCAAGAACCATTGGACCAGGAAAGATGAAACTCATGTGGAATCATTCTCAGGTAGTGTAAATTCAGGTTTGTTCAAATCAAGACCCCCGGGGATAGGGTTGGGCCAAAATGGCCGATCAAAGTTTTACAAAGGAATATATAGGGAAAATCTTCTGAAGAACCATTGAGACATGAAAGCTGAAACTCCTGTGGAATCATCCTCAGGTATTGTAGATTCAGGTTTTATCAAATCATGACCCCTGGGGGTAGGGTGGAGCCAAATGGCCGATAATAGTTTTACATAGGTACATGAATATTAGGAAACCTTTTAAAATCTTCTTTTCAAGTAGCTCGAAGCCATTCTTAGTGATATTTATAGGGAATCATCCTCAGGCAGTGTAGATTCTAGTTTGTTCAAATCATGACCCTTGTGGGGTTAAAATTCAAGCCACCCCCCCCCCAATCAGTAAACTTTTAGTTCTGATATCATATGACTTGTGCTTTTTCCTAGCCAATTGCTCAGGTGAGCGATGAGGCCCCTGGGCCTCTTGTTTTTTATTATAATAAGGTAGCACAAGCACACTCTTTTTAATTGCTTTTTTTTAAATTAAGAAAAAGAGACATTTGATTTCTGGAATGTTATATGCAATTATAGAGAAAAAAAATAAAAACTCCCCGATTGTTTAACTTGCAAAAATATCTCCGACTGACATGACGTTAAATTGACGTAGCAATGCTGCTCCAGTTAGATAGACATGTGCATGTTTATAATTTTACTTGAACTCGTTTAATTATTCTAATAATAAATAATAAAGAATTCAGTCTTTTCATGAATATTGATGAAGGAAGTGTGTAAACAGTAGGCCTATAAAAAGACGCATGTCCACAGGAAATCTTAGATAACGAGATATGTGGTTGCAGTTTGACAACGATTATTAACCAAAGGTAAATATGCGTCATAACAGAGCAGATAGTTGTTCAAAACTGATAACATTTATGTTAAATTTCATTAAGAGAAACATGCGTGCAATCCACGCCAAAAGTGAGCTGCGTGGCAACGCACTTTGAAAAAATTACGCACTTTGAAAAAAAAAATTCAAAGTGCATTAAAATTGCTATATAATCAACGCACTTTGAATTTCTGTGACTATTGAAAAAAAATTCAAAGTGCGTTAAGGGTGTACATAAACATTTTTTTTACCATGGGGACATTTCACGCACTTTGAATAAAATATACATCAAACAAAAAATTGATTTTAGTGATTGAGAGAATCAATTTGCAATAATTATTTCTTTAAAAAAATTTTAATTTACATGTACTCATTTAACATCATTGAAAACGAGGAGAAGACGAGTAGAAGGTCTCTCAACCCAACTTTTTTTCTTATACATTGTACATAGACGTCGGTACAATGTAGCAAATCGAAAGTTGATCCCCCGCAGGTAAGCCCCAATTTTCAATGTCTATTTTATGTATATCTTTGCAAAACATTTCTGTGATTTTGTCCTAAATTAAACGCACTTTAAAAAAAATCAAAGTGCGTAATGTTTAAAAGTGCGTTGTAACGGAGCTGTATCTCAAACGGCCTACCTCGTTTTCCTGACACCATGTTTGTTTATCAATCTATTACATAGCGACGGTGCTACGTGACAGATCTATTTAGAAATAGCCATTTTCCCCTAGCAGTATGATAAATAATTATGATTTGAAACCTTTATAAACGCGTTTAATTTCAATGGCGTAATTCACAGTATTTTTGTAGCTTTTATTGGAGAACAAAATATAAATCCCAGCCGTATTTTATAATGCCACAGGTTATATCAGTGCTAAGTATTACTCTAACTGAGCGAAACACTACTTTAAAGAAGTCAGGTCAAGGTCAAAAAAAGGTAAGAAAAAAAACCTTTATTTTATGACTTTGTTTCTTTGTTCTTTTATTGATTTATCTAGATCTTTTAGCTTTTCTTTAATAAATATAATAATAATTTTTTATTAGTGTAATAAATAAAATATTTTTTGATCTCTGTAAGGAAAAAAAGATTGGAAAATGAAGAATTTATTGAGCATATTAAATTACTGAATTAAAATTATTATCATGGACATTTTCTAAATGAAACGTGCCTTTAAAACAAACAGAGAAGAGGGAGAAAAGAAGAAAAAATAAGCTGATCAAGGAAATGAGTTAAGGATGAAATTTTTTCAGCGTTTTTACCAATGAGTTTCTGCATGCATTTACATGTACCTTGAATAGTTGTTAAAACTATTTCTGTAAATAAAAGAATGCAAAGGAACAGGTTATATTCAATTTGAATAAATTCCTCGGTCTTGAAGTACACATGAACAAGTAAATGTAATTGAATATTTAAAAAATATTTTACCTGCTCGGGTGCTTTCATTTGTGACAATTGTTTTATTACAGCAAAATTTGATTCTCACTATGCTGAACATTATCATATTAATATTGAAAACGAATCGGTAATTAATTTTTTTTCCTGTATCGTTTTGTCAAATAAGTTTTTATAAAAAAAATATTTTTGAATAGAGTATTGTACAAATTAATAACTTACCTAAACGATAGCCAAATCAGGTGAATCACTTTCTTCAGTGTGCAAAGAACGAAACAATTTTGTTGCGTATCGCCTTTGTATACGGTTAATGAGACACAAATTTATTTTGATATGAAGTGAATTTTTTTCCCAATTTTAAGGTCTTTTGTTTATCAATATATGATCCTTATGATTTTGTGAAAACGAAACCAACCGTTTCCAATAAAACGTTTATGTGATTGATAAACTTTTAAATGCTCTCTCTCTCTCTCTCTCTCTCTCTCTCTCTCCAGTCATAGAATTGCTTCCTTGATTTATATTGTAATATTTTTTACCTTGTTCATAGGATATGAATTACATTTTCATTATTTCCTTTCCACTATTTCACCAATTTGCAGGTTCTAGCATTGATCAATGATGCAAAACACCGTAAAATTGTTTATTTTAATCGGACAAAATCTGCTGATTAC